AGTAAAATATAGCCTAGGGCAAGCATGTGAATGCAATTACCCACATCTCCTGTTTGACATGGTTTGAGGTGGAAGGTGGGTCATTTTTGTTTCATTTCTCTATTTTGTGTATTTTTTCAGGTTGAGTAAGACTAGAGCATGCTTTCCTGGGCAGCAAGCGATGGGGAAAAGGGAAAGCCCCCTCCCCGGGCTAGTGGGCCTGCTTGTGACTAGCTCACCAAACAGCCCCAAAAGAAGTCCCTTGCCATGTGTCAGTCTGTATTGCTCTCCTCTTCCTCTTCCTCCTCCCAGGCAATGGTAGCAATGTGCTTGTAGTGGTAATTTTTTCTTTTCTTTTTCCTTCTTTTTTTTTGTCCTTGTAGTGCAGGATGCCCTTCAGCACAGACCTGGAGCAGGTGGGAGCCTTGGGCTCTATCTGTCCCCAGTCCTTCCTCCTCAGCACCTTTTTTACTACTCAGAGCATCCATGCATAGCTCTCCCCATGTCTTCTGGGATCTTTCCACAAAGCAGAGTGTTAAAATACTCCTGTAGACTGTCACTATGAATTGTAGATTGCTTCTATTTGCTCTATCTTAAACTTGTCTGCTCCTTAACTGCCTTTCTGATGCCCAGGAGACATGTGGCCCTGCTCATTCTGCATCTACCTCATCACAGGGCAAGCTGTTGTCCTTGCACACTGAAATGCCACGGTCCAGGAGGAGACCTGGAGGGCTACTCATCAGGCACCTCCCTGATGACACCCCTTATTGCTGCAGATGGAGCCTGGAGCTTCGCAGATCCAGGGCAAGTCATGATCCTGCCATGATTCTAGAGGAGGTGGATCTCCATGTGCTGTCTTGTCCCTCTGTCAGGCCCTCAGAGCCCTATTTGCTCTTGCTGGCAGGTAGTAAACAAGTCCTGAGTGCTGAAGAAGGGAGAGGGCACAACAAGGAGTGAGAACGTGATACTTCACCAAGCTGGGGAGCATTAAATGGTGATAGAGATATGTTTGTGTAGCAGCTGCCTATGGGCTTGCTCCCTTTAGCAGTTTCCCATTAATAAGTCTTTGTGAATGTTAGTGGGCACATAAACTTTAAACAGATAGCTTGTCAGCTGGGAATTGAGCCTTTCATAGATCTCTTTGATGGAACAATTTTTAAGAACAAAAACGGGGGCAGGGAGGGAGCATTTTCGGCCCTGCATCTGTAAAAGATGAATAGGTTGCTTGAAGATGCTGGTGTAAGTTGAGCAGCTCTGTGGACAGTGGTGGGTACATTACCCAAAGGGGTTGCTACCCCAACACCCCTTCCTGGCTCACAGAGACTATTCTGCCTCCAGTGCCTTTTAAGACCCTCTTGCTTAAGTATGAAAGATAACAAGATAAAATTGTGGTTTCATCAGAGAACACTCTGATTCCCGTGGTTCCAAGTAGGAGACAAGAACTCCTTGGAAATCTCTTACCCAGGTGTAATTCCTTGGCTATTTCATGGTCTCTCTGGGAGCCAGAAGACAAGAGGGCTATGGCCGAGCTGAACTCACCAGGCAAAACAGTCAAGAGCTTCAGAATTGCCCGCTGGTTCAAGGCACAGTCTGGGACAATTTCAAGATGCCAAGTTTCTGGAACATGGGCCTGAATGCTGCTGGAAAGAAGGGCCCCCTGCGGGTGTAAGATAGTTAAAGATGGAAATAATCAAAATCATTTTTCACTTTTAGAGGTTTGGGCCAGTTAAAGCACCTTTCTGCTGCACATCATCCAGCTCCTAGTGCTTGTATTGAGACATCAAATCTCCCTGTGCAACGATTTAAAGGGGTGCCAAGGGAGAGCAGAAGGATGGAACGGTTTCTATATGAGAAGAGCTTAAATAGACTGCAGCTCATCACCATGGGAAGGAGATGACTAATGAGGACCATGATAGAGGTCTATAAAACCCCAAACAATGTGGCTGGGTAAGCAGGGAGTGGTTGCTCTTTCTCACAACACCAGGACCAGAAGACACCAAAGGGAAGGAGTTTTAAAACAGACAGACTTGTTCACAAAACCCATAATTCATCTCAGCTGTGTCTGTTGTGTTAGCTAGAAACATAGATTCCGGAAAGAATCAGACAGACGTTGAGGGTGAGAAGGAGAAATGAGCTCAAACATCATTAAGCTTTTTTGAGCTTGCGGGTACTGGTACAACGTGTTGCTCGGAGGCTCCTGACCATGTGAAGCTGAGAGCCATGGGGGGAGTGTTACTGCATGCTTGTCTTGTCCTCTTGCCTTTTTCCTGACATTCAGGGCGTCCAGGTGTCTTTTGCTTCTGACCTGAGGACAACCAGGCTATGTCTTATATAATACTGGTGAAGCCCAGAGGTGAGGTGCTGCCTTACGGTGCGCAGTGATGACCGTGGAGCTCATGGGACAAGGGGTCTGTGCTCCTGGGCTGGTGCGGTGGGAGACGGGGAGTCTGTGAGGGCAGTGAGGGGCCTTTGGCCAGTGAAATCGCCATATATACAGCTCTGTTATCTGCTGGGGATAGACCTTTTCTGAGCATTAGTGGGTGCCTGACTGAGCTAGACTTTTGCAGGTTGTTTGAATTGGTATGGATCAGTTCCCTCTTATCTCAAAACTAGCCTTAGATTCTTTTTCCCCTCTATTTTTTGAATAAATAACATTTTCCCATATATCTACACTCAGTTTTTATTTTGTCTCCTGGGTAAATGTAATTTTTCATGGAATAAGGCTCATGAGGGACTGCCAACTCACTGCCTCCAAGCAGACCCGTCTTAGAAGGCTTGGAAAGTAACTGAATTGCAATGCTGAGAAGCAGACCCAGAAACCCTTGCCTCTGGATAGGCAGTTGTTTGGAGAGAGGGCTGGAGCACCATGGCAGCCTACCTACAGGTAGAAATGGGGAAATATTTAAAACACTTTGCACCATGACATGCTACATTCTCTCTGGTGACCTGAATGCTATGGGTGCTACTTATTGAGTGCAGAGGCGAAGTATGTCATGGTGGATCCTCCTGGAGGGTGGAGGATGAGGTGGTTTCTCAGTTTTGGGGGTCCTGGCTGTGGGTTCAGCTTCACTCTTCAGGTCTGCACGAGGCCAAATTCCCTTCTAGTCTCATGTCCCCGTGGTCAGGACAACCCATATGGAAAGAACTCTAGTTCTCTCTATGTGAACTTAAGATGCCCAGAAGTGGTAGATATTGGGGGATGGTATGACAATCTCTGGAGCTTTTCCTTTCTATGTTAAATAACTGGAAAAAAATGCATTATTTTTTTCATTAAAAATTCATTTGGAAGTGGTGAGATTTCTGGGAATGTAATTAGCTGAGTACTCCTCCTCCATTAGCTCTCCCCAGAGTTTCTTGGGATCACTCTTTTCTCTTTTCCTCCTCATTTCACATTTTTTTAGCCCTTCTGCAACTTGCTTCGGTTTCCCTGGATAGCAAAGGGGGCAGATCCTTTTCAGCCTCAATCAGAAGTGAAGACAACAGCGTAGTTATTATACAAGACAAGATCTGGCCCAGTTACTCTTTGAGAACACAGCAGTAGAAGAGAATTTCTTTGCGCCTTATCCTCTCTCCTTTCACATCATATAATCCTATTTCAGCTCTCTCCAGGCACGTAATCGCCTCTTTGGGTGCCTTATCTCTAGAGCAGTGGAGTAGAGGGGCTAGTTGGTCAGTTCTTGAGGCTCTGTTAGAGGACTGTGGGAAGGAGATGGTGATTCTGGGCAAACCTTCCCTTGTACGTTGCTTGCATGAGCATATTGCCCACACGGTGTTGCTTGATGACCATGATCATCATGTTGGCGTCTCCACAGTGGTACCAGTCTGTGCATTTGCCTCATCTGGGCTCATTTCCAGGAGCTGCCTGTCCACGTGGGGCAGGTTTCCTCCAGGCAAGCTGAGCTGTTAAAGGCCACATGTTTAATGTAGCATAATCGTGGTGCATCAAAGGTCTCTTTGCAATCAGTCTACCTTCTCTGGCATATCAAGGTCCGGCATATAATTGCATTTCTGCAACCAATGGTGCTGTGAACAGTGAACAAAAAGAGAACAGAGTGTATAGGATCTTAAATCTTTGTTACCATGGGAAAAGAGGCCTCTCTCTGATTCCGAGATGAGAAGAGGCTGATCTGCTTGTACAGACAAACCTCCTGCATGCTGGTGATTGGAGGTCTGCAGGGATCTCTGCGCTGTCTCATTGCTTGCACCTTCTTTTCCTTCTCTGTAAAAGCCAGCGATGAGGAATCCTTTCTGCCTGGAAATGCTGCATAGTTGGCAGGTGTATGGCCTTGCTTTTCCTGAGGCTTTTGCAAATGATAAGCTGCTAAGGAGTTAAACTAGTGAAACTACGGTTTAAAATACTCTTCAATTAGGTTCTTAACAACAGGGCACTTGGCACTTCTGAGATCTTTTTCCAGGCTAACTTCACCCCATGGGTTCATGTTCCTCTTGCATCTGAAAGGTTAGTTTTGCAAAGGTAAACGCTGAGAGACCTCTCCCTTCTCCCCCTTCCTGAAATAACAGTTGAGATTGATTAAGATTTATTCTTTTAATTAAGATTGAGAGGCTGGAACCCCAGGGTGCACCAGCCTCAGGAAGAAGGGCAATTATGCAGCAATTACACAGCCTTGTAATCACATTATACATGGGCCATAGACCGAGATCCACCAAAGCCACTGTAAATAGGTCATTGGCAAACCCAAGAGATCCTAAACTGTTTGGTCGCCTTGAACTCCTACCGAGGGGCTAAGATTTGCGCCTGGTCCTTTAGGGGAATAGCAGGGGCCTGGGAGGACGTTCCTACAAAGAATTCCAAATTTTGCAGCCTTTGTCACCCGTGACTTTGTGCCACTGTGACCTCAAATCTCCGTGACCTCATGACATTCCCCCAGCACAGCGTCTCCGCTCGGGAAGTGCGCAGCCCTATCCGTAATTCCACAGTTGTGCGAAGGAAGAGCAAGGCCCCGAACCCCCGTCTGCGGGCATCGTGTCGCAGAGCTCTTGGAGGCAGGTCAAGCCACGACATGGAAAGCGTCTCCTCTGAAGCCAACGTGTCGCAGACGAGGTCCTCCTTCTCCTCCCTGCTGGTGAGTGCGGCCGCTGGCACGTGGCAGCTGCTAGAACTGGTGGCCCTTGTTGGGACTCCTGGGCAGAAGCGGCAGGTGGGATCAAGAAATATGCAGGCAGCCAAAGTAATAATAAAATAAAAATATAATAATAACAAACCCCAAAAGGGAGTAAAACCACAAGGCATACAAATATGAAAAACTGCCCATCTTCCAAATCCTGACCCTGTGGCAGTGTCTGTCCTGTGGGCTTGAAGGTCTTGGATGCTGTCAGCAGCTGGAGAAAGGAGGCTGATGGCTCTTTGGGGGCTTGGAGGGGAGCTTAGGGGCATCCTCATCCTGCAGAATAATTTGCAGACACCAGGTGCATGTGCCTTAGAGGAAAAGCTGGGCTTTGGGGAGTGACTGTGAACACTGTTCTCACATGTCACTCAGGGTAATGCTGTTAATGCTCTGCAGCCCAGCATTTGTGCCAGTGCTCAGAGCTGCAGAGTCCCCCAGAAGCAGGAAAATCCTCTCTCGTTTCCCTTCAGTTTGCTGCCAGACTTTATTAATAATAAAAAAAAAGGCAAAAAAGGCAACTTGCATGCTCCCCTCCTTGTTAAAAGAGCAGGGCATCAGTGTTGCTGGCGTGCTCCTGAGCCTCGCTGCCTGGGTAGCTGCTTCTCTGGGCTCTTCAGGCCTGCAGAGACACATTATTAATTGTTTGTTTGCTCTGCTGGGTGCAGAGCTCCTGGATTCTAATAACTTTTGCTCTCCTCGCCCGCGCTGCTGATTTTACTTCCCTTAATTTTCCCTCTCTGGTCGTTTCTAATTAGCAGTTCTAACCTGTGCCATCCTTGCCTTTCATCTTTTGCAAGAAGCAGGCTTGGACTGGAGTTAAATGGAGTGATGCTGGCTTGGGGCTGCCTTTTCCCACTGCAGGAGCAAGGGGACAGAGCCCAGGAGAGACCCTGAGCTGAGAGACCCTGAGACCCTGAGCTCCTCCTCACCCGACTAACCCCAGCTCTCCTCCTGCCTCCAGGAAGCCAAGCAGCTGCCCATCGACCGGAACGAATGGGAAGGCTATTTTGATGAGAGCGGCCACCTGGCGAAATCCTGGGATTTTATTGCGTCCATCATCCTTGAAAGGGTGAGGAAGGAGATCCAAAGGCAGGAGGGTGGCGGGCAGTGTGCGTTATCCTCTCATCTCAAGATGCTCAGGCCTGGACCCGGATGCCAGTCTTTGCTAGGCAACACAGGGACATGGGCAAGGATCTTGCAGCCACGATGACCCATTGGTGGCCACTGATGAGAGCTGATGGTCACCAATGGCTGAGGCTCCAGCAAACTGGTGTTCCCAGCCTCCCTATCCTGGCTTCAGAGCCTAGGGAGGCAGATGAAGGGTTAATAATTCCTGTAAAGGTGTGAATGGCTTTGTGTGTGTGTGTGTGTTTTTTTTTCTTTTTCCTCCCCTGGTTTTGTAGAATATAGAAGTTGTTGATCAAACAGCATCCCTTCGCCTGGAGATGCTGCACACTTCTCATTTGGCTTTGCTTGCCCGCTTGCTTTCTTGCTTCTGCTTCTTTTCTTGCAGTTTACAAATTATTCGGCTTTGCCCAGTAAGGAAGAATTGATTTTTATCACAAAACACTTTTTTTTTTTTTAAGCCTCTCAAAAAAAGGCTTTTCACTTCCATGAAAGGAGCCAGGAGAGCTTAGAGATGAACCCAGACAACCTGTCACAGTTTTTGTGAGCTGTGAAAACACTCTGGTTCCCCATTGCCAGGGCTGCTAGTGAGAAATTTTACTGTTGCGCTTAAATGCAGTCCCTTTGGTATTGAACCAGGCCCTGTGGACACAACTGGGACTAGTGGCAGTTCAGGTGAGCTGGGACCCCCTTCTGAGCACATCAGACCTTGCCCACATGGGACGTGATGTCCCTGAGGACAGGCAGGACCAGGGTGGTGTATACAGAGAGGTTTCAATTGGGGCTGGTTTGTGCGGTGGAAGGCGGTGGTTTGGTCTGAACCTTCTTGTTTTGGGCCATCTTGGTGAAAATGCTTCTGACGTTGTAATTGAGACAGGAACAGCTTCGTTTAAAAGAACATTGCAACCGTTTTCTGTTGAAATATCTATTGCTTGCTGAGAAGCCTTCCTGAAAACCCCAAATAGTGACAGCTCACTGGTTAGTTTAAGCAAAATGCTGACCTGGAAATACTTTAACCACAACGAGAAACTTCCTACTAATAAAACAGGAAAACCTAAAAGTGTTTGCCTGAATAGCATGGTCTGGGCCACTGCAAGCTTCACGAATGACTGTCCAGATATGAGCCCAAAAGATGCTTCCACTCACACCCCAGGACCATGGTCCCCATGTAAGGGCCTGGCACACCATGCCAGTGTCTTTGCCCTCCTGAGCCACCCGTGTTGCTGTCCCCAGGGCCTGGACCCCTCAGTGAGGCCAGAAGCGTGGAAGTTCCTCACAGGATACTACCCATGGAGCAGCTCACGTGATGAGAGGCTCGCGGTTGAAGGCATGAGGAGGTAATTCTGGCTGGCTGCCACCTTCCTTAGTCATCACCTGGGGTAGAGGGGCTTTCACATGCAGGTACTTCTCTGTTCCGTCCTTCAGCACCTTATGAGGGTGCCAACCTTTCTGAATCGTCTATCCTTCATCCCAAGCTTGGGTGGAGGCTGGTGTTGAGAGACTGAATTGCTCTCCTGGTGCGGATGGTCTTTTGGCTTGGCATGCACCTGGGGCACGTTCTCTATAGTCCTCGGAGCAGATGCTGTTATTTTAGCCATTCCCTTCTATGCTTTTCACACTCCCTTCCAAGAAGATGGTGTTGGAAGACCAGATCCCAACCATTTTGGGGTAACAGCAGGAACTTTGAGATTCACTGGTGCTGCCCAATCCAAAGCTTTACTGTAGTGGGGCTTGCTGTCCACCGAATGCCCAGGGAAGTGCCCTGGCAATGGCCATGCCTTCCAGATGGGCAGCCACGTGTCCCCTTCTTGCAGGAAGAATTATGAGTCCTTGGCCAAGTTGTGTGACAGGATACAGCCCTTGCTGGAGACAGAGCACAGGGATTTCTCTCGAGTCTGCAGCTTCATCAGTAAGTGCATCGCGGAGCACCAGCGCACATTGTTATATTTCTGAAGACCGAAAATTCCCCACAACCATTCCAATCTGTGACATTTTTCTCCCTCTTTTCTCATCCTGAATTGCTGAATTTGACTGCTAGCGCTGGCACCTGCTACAACACTGCCTGGAGCCATCAGCTTTTTAGTGATGGGTCAAGTGACCCAGAGAGAGAATTATATATAGAAAGGCAGGCGATAGAGATGTCGTTAGAGAGAGGCTGGAAGTCTGGAGAGCACCTCCAGGCCCATTTTTTTGTGGATGAAAGGAGCTTACTTCAGTGAAGAGCATTATTATATTCAGATTCCCATTTAGGCTTCTCCAAGTTGTACAACAAAAGGAATTTTAAATGATATTGCAAAATTTATGTTACAAATCAATGTAACCTGCATAAATCAACCCAGCTGAGGCAAGAAGGCAGGGGTTGTGTTTTTTCTCTCTGTTTTTTTCTAATGCCTTGCTGAAACTAAGTTGCTTCTCAAGAAAGGAAAGTTGCTACATCGAGTTGGAGAAGGCCTTAGAAAAATATATAGACTTCAGCCAAATACAACTCCTTATTCCTTTCCTTTATTTTTTTTTCCTCTCTTTGTTTGGCTGAAGAAGAAATCACTCTCCATCTTTCTGTACAATTAACCAAGTTGTGAGATTAACCAAGCTTTTCAGAGCTAAAACTTTTGGTCTTTATGCACGGAGATCCGACGATAGGAAATAACTTGGTTGTGGACGGCTTGCTCCAGATGTGGAGCTCAGGAGGCTGTTTCTCTCTCTCCCCAGACTCAGACCTGCAGAGACTGTACACGAGAGATGCCCAAGGCCAAACCAGGGTGGACAAGAAGCAGATGGAAAAAATCCTTTTGCTCAACTACGTGTGCAACATGGAGGCAGGTGAGCATGCGAGGAGCAGCTCGTGTGTGGGTCCTGCCTGAGCCCACAGAGGGAAGTTCTCCATCCAAACGCATCCTCTGCGTTTCCACAGCTTTCCCTTGCCTTTCCTTTTCTCTCATGTCCATCCCTGCTGCGTGAGTGCAGTCGTATGTCTTCTTCCCTGGCAGAGTACCAGCAAGGCTTCCACGAGATGCTCCTGCTCTTCCATCTCCTTGCTGAGCAGGAGCATGAGATCTACTGGCTCTTCCAGTTCTTCCTCCAGAAAACAGTGAGTTTCTGGGTGCTTCTCCCTGTAGTGGGGATGGCACCATGCTGAGGTCTGGCTCTGGGAGGGCAGTGCTGTCTGATCCCTGACCGCTGCAGTGGGCATTGCTGAATCGGTAGCACTCTGGGCTATATTAGCTGGGCTTAGATCCAGACTCTGCTGATGACCTCTGCTGGGACCGGAGCCATAGGAATGGGGCCAAATTAGGTGGTTTTGGAGCTTGTGGGACACGTGGAGCTGGGCTGTCTGAACTGCCCCTGCTCTGTGTCCCCCAGGAGCACAGCTGTGTGATGAACATAGGCGTGGGGAAAAACTTGATCATGCTCAAGGCACTGATTGCGTTTATGGATCCCACCTTTGCAAAACACCTGGGTAAGTCCCAAGCCTCTTGCCTGCCTCTGGTCAGCCCAAAGAAGATGTTCCTGTAGGTCATAAAGCATCATTTACAGCAGATCCCTGCAAAAGAAGGTAAATATTTGCACAGTGATTGACTTTTGCCAACTGAACATGCTGAGAATGCAGGTCAGGGACACTGAGCAGGGGTTACACATCCTGGCTCTCCTGAGACAAGTGCCTGGGAGCAATCTGAAAGACCTTAGCCTTTTGCATGCACTTTTCTGAATTTATCTCTTTTCTCTGTGAATTGCATGGAGATGGAGCTGAGGTTGCAGCCTTTGAGCATCTCCTCCAGCTCTTCCTCTGCTGAGTTGCCCTTCCATTGGAAGGGGTGGATCAGGCCTTCTCAGAGCCATCCTGATGCTGTTTTGGTAGAAAATGTCCCCGCTCCCTATCTTTAAAATATTTCTTTTTTGCCTTTGAAATCCATCTGAGCTTCTGATCAGAGTTTGCTCTTCTCTTCTTTCAGAGGGAAAAGGCACTCAGGTTATTCAGTCACTGTTCCCCTGGTTTTCCTTCTCCTTCCAGCGCGTTTTCAAATCCTTCTATGATGTCTGGAGGCTCTGGGAGGTGAGTGCTTTCTAATGACAAGAGCTCAGGTATTTGGGATACACCAGGGTTAAGAAGGATTGTTGCCAGGTATATTGTCCTTAACAAACAGCAACCCCTGGATCCAGACCCTTCAGAGCTATAGGGGATCTAATTCCCTATTCCTAACAGAGGATCTTGATAGGCCTGGCCTTTGGGTGAGATCTGTAAACATTAAATGCCTTTTAATACAAATTTAGGTGGACTGTAGCTCCCAGGATCCATAGGAGTTGTTGTGACCGCCCTTCTCAACCATATCCCAGAGCACCTACAGTCAACTAGTGATTTCCTTACTGAATGTATGATAAAAACTCTCCTCTTCATTTGGAGTGTGTCTTCGAGTGTGGCAGCACCTTGTCTAGGTGGCCAGGTTTGCCCCTCTTCCCAGGACAGTTATCCCTACTTTTCCTGGTGGTTTGCAAGACACTGCCCTCCCCTGGAGCTGCAGCTCTGGCATCCGGAGTGGGACTCCAGGAAAAGAAAAGAGGCTGCCAGAGCAGCAGGATTCCCCGCTCCGCACACAAGCTTCTCTCTCTGCATCTCATTTCTCAGCCCTGCTCCCCGGTGGCTTTGATTATCTCAATTAATATTTGCAGAGCCTCTCTCCCCATGCGCACCCCTCAATGAAGGCTGTGCAGCAAGTGCTTGCTCTAATTACTCTCCACCTGGGCAGCGGGAGCTTGGGGCTGTGGGAGCCCTGTGTAGGCAGGGAGGAAGAGGAAGAATCCTGGAGATGAGAACAGGGCTTAGAAATCAGCTGCAAACTCCCTTTGCACCTGTTTACCAGCATAGCCCGGCTGGTCCCACTCTAGTTTTTGTGGGTGTTCATGTGCAAGGTTTTTCAGGGAGTGATTTTTGGTGTGCATTTAGCTAAAACACCTCTGCCTCCTGCTGCTTCTTCCTCCCTGGCTGGGGAAGGCTCTTGCACAGAGCTGGCTGGGTCAGGCTTTGAGTTTAGATGTAAATAGAGTTCAGTAAAACACTTGGTGTGCCTCCAGGGCCTCCAGGAGCCTTTCTGCCTTTTGGAGCTCTTGGAGCATAGAGGGCTCCACAGGAAGAAAATGGTAATAACTGTGGAACTCCTTGCTGCAGGATTTTGAGGAAGAGGAAAAAACAGGGACACATGGAATTGCAGGCTCATTCACTACATCTGCTTCTATGTTCTTATGGCAAAGAGGCCACCGGACACCTCCCTCAATCTGGGGCGCAATCAAATGCGAAGGGTTTGACCTGCCTGCAGTGGCTGTGAGGGACCATTGCAACCTCTCCCAGAACTGTAACAACTATGACCCCCTTGCCCTGTACCCAGAGAGCCCCTCCCTGCATTTGGTGTCCTTTGAGCCAAAACTATCAGTAGGAACATCCTGAAGCTTGTGCTGCAGCTTTGTTATTTTTCAGCCTAGCAGGAGGGCTCAGCTCTTAGCATGAGAGGCTCCATTTCGCTGGCTTGGAGATTTTGCCTGTAGGCTTCCCTGATGTTTTCTTCTCCCTGCTCCTCTCCTATCTGTTCCCCGCCAAGGTTTTCTTGATAGGGAAGCCCTGCCGAAATTTCCAAGTGATTGTGGCCTACACACTGCTGCAGACAGTGAGAGATCAGGTCCTGCGGGAGAACATGGCTGGAGACGACATCCTGACGGTGAGCGGCTGTGCGCGGCCTCCCGTCCCACCACACCGGGGGCCTTCTCCAAGACCTTGCTGCCAGGGCTTGGGAGGGGCCACTCATCGGAAGCGAAGGAAAGCAAAGGAAAAACCTCAAATTTGAGTTTTTGGAAGCAGTTTGGTTCTAAAGGAAGATACTGGTTTGTGATGCAAGTAGGCAGGGGCAGATGGAAGACATCCCCAGCCTTTGCAAACCTAGCCTCCAAGCAGGGTTTTGGCAATCTAGCATGCCTGTAAAAATGACTTAATTTTCCTGAGAGAATAGTGAGAATATCCAGGAGAAGAGGAAGAGAATTGAACTGAGAATCGAATGTGAAAGCTGGGGCTTTTGTCTTCCACCTCTCTCTGGCGACTCCAGCCCTGTTCAGAAGTTGAGCAGATGCATGAGACTGCCCTGATTTTGCTCCATCTCTTCCCTGGCCAGCTCTGTGGAAACCTCGTGGACCTGGATGCTGACCAGCTCATCTCTGAGGCCTGCTCCACCTATGACCGCCTCTTGGAACATGCGGACAAGGTGAGCTGCGGGATGCCACCCTGTGTGGCAGCGGGAGGGAAAAGGCCGTCGTGTCATGGCCTCAACCCGTGTTTCCCAGGTGCCGCCTGCACTGATGGACTTCTTCACCCAGGCAAGGAAATAAGAGCAGGAGGCAAGCTGGCTGCGTGTAATAAACAAGTGCATGCAAGCTGGTGTGGTTTGATGGGGGGAGATTGCTTATCCTGGCATTTTTGTGGGCTCTGCTGTTCGTATATGCTGGTCAGGAGATGGGATCTGACAGGGATTTGTGTGGATCTTGTGGCCAGGACTGAAACCCCTGGCCCATCAGCACCCAGCTTTGATCCTGCTGTCCTGTTCCGCCCTTGACCAACTTGGTACCATCCCACCCAGAGCCAGGGTATTGTCCTATCTATGGTGTTAGCAGTAGGATGAAAGAAGGGAACTGGGAAGGCAAAGGGCCGTTTGGGGACAAGAGCCTCCCAGCTCCTGCTTCTGCCTGGTAGGGCCCAGGCACAAGGACAGTCCTTCCCTGAGCAGAAGAGAAGTCACTCAGTCTCCTGTCATTCCTAATGCAGGATCTGGGTGTGGAAATCGCTGCACCTTTGGATGGAGCTTTGGATGGACCCTAGGAGCAGGCACCTCAGTCCTGCTCCTTGGCCCATCTCCAGCACATCAGCAAGGCTTCAGCTCTGCAGGGAAGGTGAGAGGGATGGAGATAGCGCCAGCTCCTTGTGCACTTTGGAAACTTGGCACATCTGGAGAGGAGGAGGGGCAAAAAGCAAACACCTCCCTGCACTGCACCTTGTGTCTGCCCTGACACCCTCCCTCCCTCCGTTCATTCCCTCTCGTCTGGAAAGAGCCAGAAAGGCCAATATTCCCCAGCGCCTGGCTAGTTAAGGACAAAATAAACAAGCATGAGGGGGCAAACTGTGACTGAAATGGAGCACGGCTACCCGCTGAACTGTGGCGTGTTCACAGTGACCTTGACAGATGCTGTGGAAGCTGCAGGTGACACTCATCAGACGTGACAGGGATGGAGCGACCCGGGAGCAGAGATGCGCGCGGGGCTGGGGCACGACCTGAGAAGCTGCGAGAGTCGCAAGAGCATCGAACACGTGATGTGTCCCCTTGATCCTGCAAAATGCATCTCCTCGGAGCACAGACTGGGAGAAACCATGCCAATAGTTTCACGCTGCCAAGAGTAGTTCCCCCTTTTTTACAGATGGGGAAACTGAGGCAAACAGAGACAAGGCAACTGGCTTAGGAGCAAGGGCAGTATCTTTGCCTGTGAGCACAGCTTGTGGCAAGGTCCTTAGCACCTTGGTCACAAGACCATTTTTCCTGAGTGGAAATCAGATCCTCATGTCTGCAGCTTTGGAGGTCCAGGAAAACTCTTAACTTCTGTGGCCGGCTACAGAAAGCTGTGGCTGGCACACATGCCGAGCGTCTCTGGACTGGAGAGTTTTCTGTGCTTCTCCCTCCACCCAGAATGCATCTTTTGTCCACCAAACTGATGCAGAAGTTGCAGCACACCTTCCTCCTGGCTTTCTTTTCCGAGGGGTACAGCAGTGATTGTTTTTGGAGGGCTGGCCACATGTTGTGCCGAAGTGGAACGTGCTACATCACCTGCTGAAAAGCAGGAAGCTCCTCAGTCCTTTGGCAAGTCTGGAGACTTTGTCAGGTCCCCAGAAAAACAAAAGCCCCAGAAGGGCCCTAAATCTCCATGCGGGTTAAAGAAGGAGAAGGAAGACACTCCAGCTAGCATGAGGAATTCATCCATTCTCCTGTGGGTTGGCAGGTGAAGCAGAAAATCTGCCGATATATTCAAGGCCCTAATAACTTTCGAAGCGTCCGGTGGAAATTAATACAGAGCTGTATCTTACCTCCTCTGCTGAGCGGCTTTTATCACTGCAGACACTTTTGCTGACACCGAGCTATTTGTTTTGCAAGAGATGCTCCCTGGGCAGGGATCAGGGGAGGTTGGGCTAATGCTGCCTGACATACTTCATTTGGGAGATGGGAAGAGCTGGTGAGAGGAGAAGGAGACTGGAAGGACTCTGGGGATGAAGGCCTTCTCACACTCCTCTGGAAAGCGGGAGCCTGTGTGGGAGTTTGAGAAGGGTTTGGAAGGACCCTGAATGTGCCCTTCCATGGCTCCATGTGTCCTTCCACGGCTCCATGTGTCCTAATTCTGCTCCATCTTCTCTGGACCAAGCCATGGGATGTCTGCTGGGATTGTGGTGTCAGCTGAAATAGGGCTCTTCTGCTGGGAAAAATGGGAAGTGTTGGAAAGTCTGTGGCCAGCGGCTGGTCTAGGACTGAATTCAGGGTCAGCATGGCCAGACCCATAGGGTCAATATGGGGATCTGCCAGGGAAGTGACCACTGGGCTGTGGTTGACTCATCGTTGCTCCACTGCTAAAAGCAGCAGCTCCAGCTCCTGCATGTCTGCAAGGAAGAACTGACAGAATTAAAACATTTTTATGAGAAAGACCATGATGATGAAGAATAGATGTCTCTGTCTGCTTTTGAAGGACCTCATAAGACATTTGTGCCTTTACAGTCTTAATCCCAAGGCTTGTTTTCCATCTTTTCTTGTTGGCAGAGTAGAAGTTACCAAGCCGTTTGTCTCTCCAGGTGTGATGGTTGGGCTGAATGATTTCTTGGGGACAGGATGGGTTTGCCTTTGGGAGAGCACTGAGGAAGTAATGAGCAACACAAATGCCCAAAAGAAATGCTGAGAAAACCTGACACTGCAATGGAAGAGGTCAGTGGTGAAGAGCAGGTGGAAATTGCTGTGCTGAGGACCAGGACCTCTTGGAGCTCCTTGCCACGAAACAGCAGGGCTGTGTGATGATCTATGAGCTCAGGGCGCTTGCGATAACTGAATCTTCCTATTCGAGATGGATGGCACCTTCATGAGCCTGGGCAAACCCTATCCTGTCTCAGCTGAGCCTCGCAAAGGAGACTCATCGGGTTCGCTGAGCGCGAGAGGACGTTTGGAGGGACGAGTGTAATAGCGCAGAGGGTGCTGGCTTAGCTTGCGAAGACGCTTCTTCTAAATGAGGTACTTGGAAAATTCCCCACTAGTTTGCCAGACCATTTCTCCCCACATTAATCTTTTTGTTTGTTTTTTTTTCTTAATGGGAGATTTCAGATAGCCAATTTGAAAACAGAAACAGCACCAGAGAATTAGTTAGTTGTTGCTGTTAGTTTGTTCCTGAGGAAATAAAACCTTCTTTTGCATTTTGCTTTTAAGATTTCTCTCCCTTTTGCTACTGGGGAGGGAAAG